GACATGAAAGGGGATCCACCCAACCCATTCGGTGTGCCGAATAGGCCAGGCTGGATCACTTTGGGTCCAGACCGGGCAGAAGCTTCGCCCGTCTGGCTCCTAAGGTTCGTTCCCGTACGCCTGTGTGAGATGTCATGGAAACTGTCCGGGAAGGTCGACGTTGAGGCCGACGCAAACGCCTGACCTCGCTTCTCTTGGAGAAATGTGGGGGCGTCTGAGAATGTTTTCTTGGAGCCATCCGGCTGTACGTGCCGGATGGCCTTTCGCACCTCCCCTTGAGGAAAACGGAGTCTGCTTGGATCAAACCTTAAGCCCTCCCCCTCCTTTGGCTTGGGATGAGGGGTAGGAACTCGTTCTTTGACCGCCTTCTTTCCAGAAGGCTTCTTGGCCGGCTGACCCTTCTTTGGAGTAGCTGACCGGACGAGGCTCTTGATCTCACCCTTGAAACTATTCATGAAAGACATGAGTTCGTTTCTTGTAACGGGGGCTGAGCCCTCCACCGTTTGGGCAATTCCAGCCGGTTGCCCGGCTGGGTTGTTGGGAGCAGCTTGGCTGATTTCCCGTTCTCTTCTATCTTTAGCACGAGGGTGCTTCGTTCTGAAAGACCCATCCGGGGCCACATATGTTTCAATTTCGTCGCCACTTTCATGGTCCGTCTGGACCTCAGGCTCGACCACAGGCCGTTTGCCCTGATTCGGTGACACAGTATCAGAAGTCATCTTAGAAGTACTCTCCCCACAGACGGCGCCAAATGTTTCGGGGTTTTTTGATGTGTCCTGCGGGAGAGTTACAATTCCAAGAATGCCCTTCGACGCTTGTGCCTGCAAAATCACGAAGACTCCTGGGGGTAGGAGCTCCGCCTCCGACGATCAAGTTAGTAAAGATACGGGAGGTAGAATGCACGTAATGTGGAAGTTACTTCTCGCGTAATGGGAGAATTCTGCAATTAATATTGCTCGGGGTAAGTGTTTTTCTTTTTGAGGAGTATTCAATGTGAACAACAAATGTTCCAGCCCCCCATTAATGAGGGTCCTTCCACTATTTATAGTGGGGAAGGGATGGTTTCCCTTTTAGGGTTTAGAGGACACGTGTCAGCAGAGGATTGGAGCACTGCTGACCAACGGCTGGATGCCACGTGTCACTAGGCCATTGGGCCACGTGTTTAGGGTATTTTTACCCCAAACAACTTGGAGTTTTAAAGCACGAGATTTGTTTGAACAAACATTGACTAATTGTCATGAGACCATGTATACCGTACAAGGGAAGTAGATTTGCATTGACATAGACCCCGAAAAAGGTGTATTCAAGTTTGTGTTGATTGTTGAACACCTAGGTTGAGATCTTTCAGGGATTTGGTTTAGAGTTCAGGTTTTGTATAGTACAAGGTCGATGGACGATGATACAAGCTTTGACTATTTTTTGATATTATATGCGGTCGATGGACGATGATGGGACAACCTATTAATCAAATCCTGGATCCGCCACTGCACGTATACCGTAGTAAATTGTTGAAGGTAATGAAAATATCGTGGAATTTACTCAATATGAATTCATAGTTATTTGAAATATTTTGTATCTAGCTCGTTTGACGTATAGTGTATGACCCAGATCACGTGGCCCAATCAAAAGGAGACACATGTCACCCTACGAGAGATTCAAAATAAACCAATCCCCCAACTGACATGTGGCCCAATTTCCAAAAAAGCCGCAAAACGGCACAGCCCACTGATCTAGGTCAGAATGACCTAAGGGTACAAATCTCAATGACCCTATAAATAGGGAGATTTATCCCAATTTGGGGACACGTTCATTTATTACACACAATCAATTCTCTCGAAAACAGATAAATCACCAAATCTCGAAATTCGAGAAGATCCATTTTTACTTTCTGCACTTTTACACCACTCCGAACACCTTCTAACTTGATCGTCAGAGGCGGAACTCCGAACACCTGGAGCTTCTGTTGTTTTGCAGGTACAACCGGCGAGAAATTAGTCTTGGTGATGTAACTCTCCCGAGGGACACAAAAAAACCCCGAAACATTTGGCGCCTTCTGTGGGGAGAGTGCCTCTAAGATGGTTTCTCAAGAGATTGTACCTCCTGAGGATAAGCAGCCTATGACTGAGGTCTATTCAGACCATGATACGGATCCAGAGGTCAAAACATATACCGTTGCAGATGGATCCCTCATTACCAGGCACATCCATTCCAAAGACAACAAGGAACGGAGCAATGCTCAGGCGGGTCCGAGTAAGACCTCCAGCCAGCCCCAAGCGATAGGACAGTCTGCTCACATCACCCGAGACGAGTTCGTGAAATTCATGACAAGTTTCAAGGGAGAGATGAAGGACCTGATCTCCAAGAAGACGGCTGGTTCCAGCAAGGGTCAGTCGGCCAAGAAGCCCTCCCGCTCTGAAAAGGCTAAATCGATCAAGGATAGGGAGCCCACTCCACACCCTAAAACAAAAGAGGGGACCCGACCTTTGATTGATTGGACCAAGCTCCACTTCCCTGAGCCAGGGAAGAAGAAGGCCATCCGACAAACACAGCTGGATGGTAGCAATGATGGTACCACCAACCTAAAAGACCACTTGTTGGCATACACCCATCTCATGTACTTGCAGGGGTTGAATGACGATGTATGGTGCAGGTGTTTCCCAGCCACGCTGAAGGGCATTGCCCAGCAGTGGTTCGGCAATTTGCCGGCTGGGTGCATTAACAATTTCAGGACGCTTGCGTTCTTATTCACCTCAAACTTCTCCATGAACATACCCGCCATAAAGACAAGGCTTGACTTGGGCGCGGTACAATAGGGAGACAAGGAGAGGCTCTGCTCATACGTTAGGCGGTTCAATCTGATGAGAATCCAGATCCAAGGACTGTCTGACGATGTTGCTTACACAGACTTCTTTAAGGGTATGAAAGACGGGTCGGCTTTCAAGTTCGACCTCGTCCGGAAGAGAAACTCTACTCTTCAAGAAGCACTGATGGAGGCGGAAGCCTATATACAGGCGACCGAGCTCTGCTCCACCAGCAAGCAGTCGGACTCAAAGAAGTCTGACAAACAAAAAGGAAGTCGACAAGAACAGCCGACTCACAAAGCTGAAAAGAGCAAGAAGAGAAACGAAATCTGGGCGGTTAAGGATTCTGATCAGCCGTCCCAGAAGAAAAAGAAAGAGTTTAAACCGTACGTCCCAAAGTACGAGTTTAACAGAGACTTCTACTCCATCTTCATGGAGATAAAAGACCGGGTGACTATTGAGAAGCCTGCAGCAATGAAAGGTCCGGCCAAAAATCGGAATAAAGACAAGTACTGCCACTTCCATGAGGATATTAGCCGTGACACCAAAGACTACTATAGCCTCAAGCGGTTGTTGGATAGATTGGCTGATAAGGGGGTGTTGAAATCTTACATCCTCAAGTCTAAGGTGACCTTGAAGACGGACCCTAGACAGCTGTAAAAAAAAAAAAAAAAGCCAGCAAAGCTTACTAGTAGTTCGGACACCGACAAGGAGCCGATCTACACCATAGCAGGCGGCTTTGTCGGTGGGGGTCCAACCATCAGAGGCACCAAGGACCATGTCCGGCAGTTGGATGTCAGCTCGGTTGATGAGGGCTAGGCGTCTACCAACACATTCCCTGAGGTGATCATTTCTGAGAGGGATCGGAGCAAAGTCCGCCGGCCACATAATGACCCAACTGTGGATTATTATGGAATAATTCGAACTTTTGGGGTTGTTTTCTTTCTTAAATCTCAAACTTATATATAATGTGTGGATTGTTTTTTTTTTTTAGGCAACGGTATAGTGGATAGTTGGATACCCCATTACCTTTACTTTCTCTTACAAAAATATTACTCTCTCCGTGTTTAAATAAATGAAACGTTTTTCTTGTGCACGTATGTCAATGCAATAGTTAGACTGATAATATCTTTAAATATCAATAAGGAAAGATTATAACAATTGAATATTAATAAACTATTCATTGAAATGATTCCAACAAGTACCCACAAGACTATATTTATTTTTATATATAAATCACAAATATTAGTCAAATTGAATTAGATGAACAATGTAAAAAGTCAAAACGTTCCTTTACTTAAACACGGAGGAAGTAATGTTTGGGCAGGATCATTTTGAGTGTGAGGGCCCTAGGGGTGTGTCCTACAACCTCACAATTTCAACTATAGTTTGGGTCTAAGTTGGGTTAGATTTGCCATGTGACCCATGTCTAGGTAAGAAGCATTCTTTAGCGGTTTAGCCATGTGACTCATGTCTAGGTAAAAAGCATTCTTTAGCATTGTGGCCCAACTAATAGTTCTCCAGTAGTGCCCACCAAATTGGTAATAGGCAAATTAGCCAAGCAACACCAGTGGTGTTACACGACCCAAAATACAGAGTAAGGTCAAGCCCATTTTGGTTACCTAACTCCAAACCCAATGAGTTAATTAAATCAATAATCATGATTGTTTAGTGTTTACCATCATAGAGGTGGAAAAAGGGAAGGGGAATACTAAAAAAAAAAATTAGTGAAAATGTGAAATAAATAAATAGCAAAATTATAATTATTGATTATCTACAATTTTTTACGGAAATAAAAATAAAAAATAATCAAAGATATTAACCATGAGTGACACACAAGTTAGGAGTCATTTAATTATCCAATACATTTATTCACTTAAATAAAAAATTAAAAAAGAAGCTATTGTACTATCTAACAAACGATAATTATATTACAATCTTTATACTAATACCTTGCCTTAAGTTTATTAAATTAGATTAGATAAAATAAATTAGATTAGATTAAATAGATTGTGCAATAGTCAAAGGGCAAGTCTCCAAAATCTAAGGAGTTTCCTAAAATACTACTTCTTGTTGCGTACGTAACAGTAATAATTCCATAACTCTAGAAATCCTAATCCTAGTAGTACACGATTAAGCGTTTTAGCATTGTTATAAATATGGTTAATTCATGACCAAAAAATTCATTCGATCAAAGTTGTTTCATCCATCATCGCAGCGCAATGGCTTACAATACAAAACCTGTTTTCTTAGTTCTTGCCTTTCTCTTTACTATTGCCTTACCAATCCATGCACGCCATGATCAAATTCGTCCCCGAGTTGATGCTATCTATCAATTCGGAGATTCGATCTCTGATACTGGTAATCTGATACGCGATAATCCAATTGGAGCACGTTCAGGCTGCGGCAGACTTCCTTATGGACAAAACTTCTTCCTCGGACGTCCTACTGGACGTTGCTCTAATGGACGTCTTATGGTCGATTTTTTTGGTATGCACTTCTTATGATTCTTTTCTTTGTTATTTTGAGGTTATTAATTGTTAGAATTCTGATATTAATAGTACGAAATATCTCATATTACATCACATTTATTGAACGTACTTATATTCATATACGGAGTACTCCTTACGCTTAAAAATTGATATTTTCAAGAAATATTCGTTAAGAAAATTTAACAAGATTTGACTATATTTATGTGAGCAATAATGCAAACGTTAAAGTGCTGGAATTAAAAGTAAATGGAAAATATATATATATATATATATATATATATATATATATATATATATATATATATATTTTCAAATAATTTTTAAGGGCGAAAGAAGTATTATCTAGGGTTTAATTTTTTTTTCTTTTCTGGTGTTCATCATAATTTTACAAAAATATTTTTCTCTAACTTAGAAGTTTAATTATAAAAATAATGGTGTTGAAGTTGCATACAGTACAAATGTGCAACGTTTTGTTATATCTATATACGGAGTACTATATATATATAAGACTATAAATTAAACTACATACGGAGTATCTAGAATCTTTCAAAAGAATTATTTCTATCGACCCATTGAAAAAATTACGTATACAAATCTTTCAAAAGAATTATTTCTATCGACCCATTGAAAAAATTACGTATACACTAACCTGTTCTTTGTGTACGTTTTATTCTTAAATTTCAGCTGAACACTTCAATTTGCCATACCTTGACGCATACCTTGACCGGAATGGAAATTTCAATCATGGAGTGAACTTCGCCGTTGCTGGCTCAACAGCGCTTAGCACATACGAATTAGCTGCAAGAAGAATCGTGTCACGGACCACCCGTAGTTCTTTATTACCCGTGCAACTATCATGGTTTAGGTCTCATATTCGTTCTATATGTTCCAATCCATCAGGTAAATTATCTAAAACGTTACTTCTGGCTATTATATCAAATATATTGTTGTTAACGATTAAATTCAAGTTCTTTTTCAAGACAGTACGCTAACTTGTACAATTTATGTTTGTAGATTGCAAGCGTAAATTTGCCAATGCACTCTTTATTGTCGAATCTGGTGGCAATGACTTCAATTATGCTTTCTTTGGAGGGAAAAGAATGCAAGAAGTATATGGGATGGTGCCCGATGTTATTGGGACTATTAGAAGAGCCGTGGAGGTGAGTCGTCGTGTTTTTTTTTTAATTTAAGGGTTACAAATTAAATGATATTAACGAACTAGCTTGTTTTTCATATACATGTTACAATTTATGAATTATGTATATACTAACGAATATGTATCGTTTAATTATGCAGCAACTGATTAGTTTGGGTGCCACACGAGTAGTGATTCCTGGAAATTTCCCAATCGGATGTTTGCCAATTTATCTTACAACTTATCAAACAAACAACGCAAACATGTATGATGAACTCCATTGTCTCAGAGAATTGAACGAGTTTGCCACGTACCAAAACAATTTCCTACAACAAACTATTAGAGAACTTCAAAGGGAAAACCCGACGGTCACAATCATCTATGGAGACTACTTTACAGCCCTTAGAGAACTCCTTCAAAACGCCACCTCTCTTGGTTAGTATAATTCATTATTCGTCGTAGTGTTACATGTTTTCTATCAATTAAGAAATATATGTATACTGATTAGTAAGGAAATCGTTGTTGTCGATGTTTTTGCAGGATTCGACAGGCATGAAACGCAAAGGGCTTGTTGTGGGATGGGCAATAATGTGTACAACTACGATGCAAGTCGAATGTGTGCAAGAGGAGTTCCCGTGTGTGAGCAGCCCGACAAGAGCGTAAGTTGGGACGGAATCCATATGACTCAACATGCTTACAGTGTTATGGCAAACTGGTTATTGAAGCACAATATCGTTCCTAGCATCTCCAAAGCAAGGGTTTAATTATTTCATACCATTATACCAAGTAGATTAAGGAAACAGAGTTGTTTAGGATGCATAATGCTTTTAAATTTTTCTTAACACTTCTTTCGCTGTAGATTAAATACTTTATCAAATTTTATTTGTTAAGTATAATTAAATTACTAATGAATAGTTTTTGGATTTATTGGTTTCAAACTACTAATGAAGTTTAAAGCAAATCCTTCAGTTAATGCGGTCTTATTAAAAAAATTGTAAAAATTGAACTCAAAATACAGAGTAACATGAAGGTTTGACATAATATAGTAGTTGCTGAAATTTAAAATAACTTGTTGCTCTCATTATTTCATTGACCATAAATAACAAATGTTAAAGAGCTACAAATTGTACTAATTAATTTCTTGTAACATAGAAGTAATTACTCCATAAATAGTTGTAACAGTCAATAATATTTCAAACAAGGTGGCATAAATGTTCAAGGTCAAAATGAGAGGGTTAAAGAAATAACAAAATCTGATATTATTCTTAAATTATTCTACACTCAAGCCCAATGACCAAATTACTTCACAAATTGGATTTGATTAGTTTTGTTATTGGCCACTAAAGTCTGCAAACCAATCGTACAAAGATACCAATTTAAACGGCTTAGTCCACATTTCAAGATTTTCTAAACAACAGTTGACACTACGTCAGCAATGCAACCCTCTCACAACCCCTGAAATATAAATATTTTTGAAGTCAATATTATCCGGTTGGTAACACCGCGTAAACTAGTAAGAGTATATCCAACCGGCTACACTGTATAATTAGGGTGTCTATATCTCTAAATTTGCCCTCTGGAAGTATGAAAAGTTCAAAATTGCAACATTGACTAAATACAGAAGTTCATTAGTTGTAGATCAAAGCAAAATCTCAATTAAGTGGAAAAAGGACAAGGGTATCAGCAAGTAACATGAGAATATTCTTATAAAAAAATTAATTTATGTGATTTTCAGATGTTAAAATTGTGCTTTGCCACAAACATGGCATGATTTTCATATAACCATAACTTTAGGAGCAAAGTTTGCAATTTCCAGGTTGTGAAAATATTAAAAGATTTGATTTAGTTTAACATAGTTTTTGACAACCTAAACATGACTTCTATCCAACTCATAAAAAGTGTCAGAAATCTGCACTCTAAATTATAAAAAAATTATTCATATCATCACTATATAATAACATTAATCCAGGTGGGTTTATGCTAATTGTCTCCTATAGATAACAGCAAATTCTTGGATTAAGTGTGAATTAACTGTTATAACCCTGTTAATCCTGTCAATAATTCTTCTATTAGTATGTAAAACAAAATTGGAAAATTACATTTATGTTCAGTGTAAGATGATGTATACAGGTTTAACCATGAGATTAATAAATTAAAACTCTCTTTCTGTCCCCCCAACCCTTCATAATATACATCTCTCCTTATCATCTCTACAAACCCTCTGAGGGTATATAAGGAAAAAGAAACGAAAAGGCGATTATAAAAAAAATACGGGGTAAATGAAAAAAAATTAACCAAGATCTAATTTGATTAAACTACCCAAGAAAAAAATAAAGGGAAAGTTTTACTAATCAGATCACAGTAGTCAGACCACTGAATCTAGGTCTTGTTCTATCTTGTGATAGTCCATCTTCCATCAGTTCAATGGACTTTCTCTTGCTATTATTGTTCTGTTGATGTACTTGTTGCTGTGATTGTTGTTGTTCTTCAGTTTTTTGTTCTGTTTCTTGCTCTTGTTGCAGTTGTGATTGTGGCTGTGGTTGCGGTTCTTGTATTCGTTGTTCGTGGTGTGGTTGATGACTAGATTTTACCTCGGGTATTTGACAGGCTTCAACTTCAAGCATGTCTTGCTGTTGTTGCCCATATTTGGCTCTTAACATATGGGGTTTAAGCCTATTTACATCCGACAACCGCACTGGTTTAAGGAAGAATTCTTCTGCTCCTTCCTCTAAACATCTGATACATAGATATAGTTCCTATTTGGTCAATATCTCGATTTCCAACACAGTTAAATGTAGTGACATTGTCACAACTATTTCCAAACAAAGAGTACCAACAAAATTTCCTTTAGAGGGCAAGGAATGTCAAAATTACGCAATGTTCTTACAACTTTATGTCATTTGTTGGTTTTTACCTGGTAATTCTAGAAGGGACATTCTCAGATGACATTATAACTACAGGTATGTTTCTCAGTGAAGAGGATTCCTGCAGAAATGAATACTGATTGTCAGATTTCTGGACCATATATCAACATATTTGAGCTCAGTTGAAAAAATTCATTTAAATCATAATGTACTGCACAATTCGCCAACATATATTTTCACCAACTCAACGTTTTGCACTACTCGCTTATCATTTAGCTATGATTAGTTATGTCATTAATAGTTCATACAACAATCAGCAGTTCGGCCAATTCCTTTTATTTACACCTTTACCGTCCATTTGGTAAGTGGTCATAAATTACACGAATGATAATGAATTTGTGTGTAAATTAGTTATAAATATCTTCATTATGTTATTATTCATAGTATTGTGAGTTCATCCTTATTACCTCATTTTCTTCAAAAGTCTTCATTCCCACGAAGAGCGGTATTAAGTGATAATGAAAATTTATGAAACTATTCCCACAACTTATGACTGCTTATCAAAGGGGCCGTTGATGCCAAAATTCATATTGGTAATAAGGAACTGATGAATTTTGTTTTATTGGGCATAAAATTAGCGCCAATACAAAGGGTTATAAAGCTAAACAACAGATCAGTTGCATAAATTGTCACCCACAAGAACAAATGAAGGAGTGCTTCTAAAGCTCAAACTTTCTAAATTATTACAGTATAACTTATTTAATTGATTTTATGATTACCAAAAATCTTCACTTCTTTTACTCCCCAAAAATTTCTTTTCTTCTAATTTTTCTTGATCGGATTTTTTTTTTTTTTTTTTTTTTTTTTTTGGCAAATAGGAATTACAAAATCCTTGGAAATTCATTATTAACAGCAATACAAAAACAGCAGGACAACGTTAGAGAAGTGGACAGAATAATTCTAACAAAGAAAATACAGAAAACATAATAAAATATCCAAAATCAAATTTTGTGTGGATGCAATTTTAAGAAGATTATATATATATATATATATATATATTATTTCCCTCTTGTTGATTCTAGAAGAAACAGAACACAAATATATTTTACTAAATTCCTAATTATATCCTTAAAAAAAAAAAAAAAAAAAAAAAAAAATACCATCTAAAAGGAATTTTTCAGACTTATTTTAGATTATGGCAGTAAAAAGACAGTCAAAAAGGCACTAAATAAAAGATAACAACAAATTAAGTCTTAATGAAGAGAAGGGAAAAAAAAAAAAGTTGAAAAAGAGAAAAGAATACCTTGACTTTTTTTAACAAATCATAGCCAGTCATTCCAGGCATACAATAATCTGTAATAATTAGATTCACTTCTACTACTTCCTGAAAAAGAAAATTGAAATTATAGAAATTAATCAGATGGAAATGTCAAGAAAATAATATGCAAAATTAAACCTTTTTTAAATAAGAAATTAAACCTGCGGATTATCAGGTGAAATTGAAGGTAGTTCTTGTTCCTGCTCTTGCCAACCCAGAAATTCTAAAGCTTTACTGCCAGAATCCACTGTTGTAACTGTTCCAAAAAAAAAAAAAAAACAATAAAATGTTACAAAATCTATTACCCCTTTACTTTGTCATAAAACAATAATAGACTAGCAAAAAAAAATTACGAACGCATCACGTGCATATAAGACTAGTACCTTGATAAGACGAGGTTTTGAGGAGACGCTCAATGAGCTTTCTATCAATTAAGCTGTCATCAACAGCTAATACATGAAACTGAGGTTCTGCTGCCATTCCCATTTTTAGACAATCCTATAGAAAGAATTTATCTACTTAAAGTTTTGTTGAAAGAAACACAAAAAAGTTTGTAATTTGATGTTGTTTTTGTTGGTGGGAAACTGAGAATGGTGGTGGGATTTGGGTATACAAAGAAAGGGGAGAAAAGAGTGGGGGGGAATAGAAGAAAGAGGGATATTGGGTTTTCTGTTCATATAAGACCCACCCACGAAACAAAGAAAATAAAAATAAACACCAAAATCCCACAAAGTAAGATCTGACCAGATTTGGGTAACAGGATTTTCCAAGTGGGTTTTTGAATTACAGGCTAAGCAATTCAATGCTATTAAACAAAACCGTAGATAATTAGGCCCTATTTTTTTGAGCTTCTGGTTAATAGAGTATATTTCAGCAGATTAAAAGCAGAGCAGCTTATTTATACTCAGTAGAGCAGATTTCAACAGAGCAGAGCAGACCACAGCAGCTCAAAAGAACAAGCCCTTACTTGTTTTAAAGTCTTGTTTGATAGAGTATATAAATCAATCCTAAACTGATTGTTGAAGTTCAAAATTGGTTTGTATACTCCATCATTGCTCATTTCACCTGACATTTAAAATAAATTTAAACAATAATTAATGAATTTAACTTGTTTTTATTGAATTTTTTTTTTTGTAAGGCAGAGAGAATGGTGCCTAAAGTAGTTATAGGTAAATAATAATTGCAATGCGGGAAATTTGTTTAGGTATATTCAATTCAGTTTTGATAGAGTATAAAACATATTTTTGGGCCTCAACCATCACCTTAAGGTTTTGGTTGAGTTAGTCCTCTAAAATGGTATCCCATGATATGAGGAGGGCCCATGCTACATCCACACTTCAAGCCCAACGGGCTCTCATGTAAGGGAGCGTGATAAAGTATAAAACATATTTTTGGGCTTCATCCATCCGCTTAAGTTTTTGGTTGATTTGGTCCTCTAACAAGTTTATACAAACAAATACCAGTATTTTTCTAAGGTTGTGTTTTTTTCATCTGAAATAAGATGTTCTATTGGTCTAAATTTTATAAAGTCTAGTTTTAGTCTGAATTTTTCTGAGCTAGTCTAGTTTGATCTGATTTGATTGAACTTTTACCTTAGTTGTACGTCAATATAAGAAAAAATATAATCAGGTGATTCTTGTTAGATTCATTTCAAGGATTATTTTTCAA